GGACCTGCGCCACGATGCCCAACGGAAGTACGGTATTCATGTCCCCTCTGCATCAGCGAAGGATCAACGAACCTGACGGCGAGGAATCTGGCTACACACCAAAAACGTCAGCATAAAGGTCGAGGAAAAGAGCTACTACTCAGTTTGTCTCCTCCTGGATCCTTGCGCTCGAGCAGCCAGGCACCTGGTTACGCCGCATGTGGCACATGCGGCGACCTTTTCTCTCCACGCACCAAGCATTGTTGCGAAGCAGGTACTACATCATCTCCATCTCTCTCTCTGGGTCGTTGCAGCCACCGCAAGGGGATGATGACGACAGGCGGCAACTCCTATTACCAACTGGCGGGAAAACTACAGAATGACCATGACGAGCACTTTGCTGCTGCCAAATCCGACCTCCTGCCGCACCAAACGAGACCGGGTCTCTACCACGAGGCTGCTGCTGCTGCTGCTACCACCACCACCACCGCTGCTGCTGCTGCTGCTGCCGATCCTCTCTTTCCACAATCACACACACACACACATACACATACATACGCACGCACACCTGGCCGCTGGGTCGTGCAAACTGCGTCTGACGAGCACGCGTTCCTCTCGAGCCACGACGCCGCCCGACCGCCTCGACAAACCTCGTTGCCCGCGACGCTGCCCTCACCAAACTTTCACGATGGCCCCTACCACCCCGTGAACACTGCCACTGCTGTGGCTGTTTGAGCAGGCGAGGTCTTGTTGCGGATCTCGGAGGGGGGTATCGTTACACACGTCATGTTCCAAAATCAAGGCGGATCAACTCCCCTGTGATACATTGTTGACGCTCTAGTTGTGGGTGGGATTCCACGATCGACTGGCCGGTGTTCGTACAGACGCCAAAGATTAAGAGTCCCTAGAAGTCACGTGTCCGACATACTCCTGCTTCTTGTTCTATGGAGCAGCGATGTCCTTTAGTTCATTGGGTAGGATCGTATGGATATACTAAGCTACACCATATACGTGTATTCATGCATCATTTTGAACAGCCAACAACCGCTCGCCATACACTACGCCCCCATCAGCACATGCGCTAATCTAAACACTTTGCTACCCTACCATCCAAATCCAGGGGCAGGACTTCCGATGCAGAGATCTACCCACACGCCAGACAGGCCCACAATCACGGGAAATCAACGACGGCACACCACGCCACCTCTGAGCACGCAGGCTTGGGAGGAAAGCAGGGTGCTCGACGGCGACGTGTGAGTAAACTTTCTCGTGTCACTAGAGTATTCAGGCGTCTATGCGCTTGTAGGGTCGGCTGTTGTTTCTGTTGTTTGAATGGTCGCGGTCACGGTAAACCCAGACACCGGAGGCGGCCTGCTGTACTCTAACCCCCCCTCCCCTCAATGTACGGACCACATGACCCACAAGGTGGAGGACTCCGGCTTCGCCATAACCCCTGCGTCCATCGCGAAGGAACACTTCGGGTACTTGGGTTGGAAATGGAGGGGTAAGCATTTTGGCTCGAAGCTGCCTCTGTGCCTCTTCCTCAAACTGCACGACCGGGGTCACGGACACAAGATTGGAACCGGAGCCGATGTGCTGCGTTGGGTTCGGGAGTGGCTAGCAACGTTACAGAGATGTTGTGACGTTGGATAGTACGTCCCAGCACGTCGCCCAGCATCTGAAAGCTTTGGCTCAGAAGGTGCGATTACTTCTTGTTGCAAGTGAACACGTATCACGTAACACATTGCGCAATACGGCCGTAATTGTTTTTTGTATCTGTATATCGGTAGGCCCCGCGTCAAGCTCTCTTCGAAGGTGATGAAAGGTTGAGTTCAAAGTTGCGGAATCTTCGGAGCAAGAACATTAAACCTCTTGATGCCAAAGGAAGTTCAGGCTATGGAAACGGTTTTTCCGGATTATTCCGTTCATGCTTGGCAGTGAGTTTTTCACCAGCACGAAGACCTAACGTGCAAGACCGACTTCTTGTCCTTTTTTGCTGTTGTTCGTCAGGTGGTGTCGGGGACCATCGTCCGAGCTATTCGCGAAGTTCGGGCCAACCGCGAGACGAGGGGCGAACCCCCGGACCTTGCGCTGGGATGCTATGAAGGCCTGGCTGTCCACCTCAATGACTTCGTAGATATCTTCAACGGCGAGGAAACCAAATGCGGTTTGACACGAAAACGACGGCATACGTGCAATATTGAGAGTAAATCACCCGGTCGTGGGGTCTAGGGTCTGGGCGCATGGGCGCAGTCGGTGTCACGATCGATCTCTGTCTCCCACTGTGTCGGTATCCACGGACGGCGCAAAAATAGACCGATCTCTGGTATCGGGAAGGCTCGTCAGGTGAAGTTGAAAGTGGCGGCCATCAATTCTTATGTTCCGTTCACACGGTCTGATCATTTCGCCGTGCACACAGGAGACTACGGTCGCACGAAGTTCGAGCGTCGCGCACAAATCAACAAGATGAAGGGTTACGTGACTTCGGCTGACGACCCCATCCTCGAGAGGCTCGTGGAGATTCTGAGGTACTTCGACGACTGGAATGACATGATGCAGGTTCCCACCCCCGACCGGCGGCGGAGACCTGGGGTGCAAGAAGCATTTCATCACGCGTGAGTCTTGGTTCGACTTGCGCCCGACCATCCTCGGCTTCGTGGCTACCTGCCGCTACTTTTTCGAGCACCCCGAGTGCTTCGGCGTCGACGATCTCTCCTCCAATGCCAACCGGTTCATCAACCCGCGCACGTTCAGCCAGGTCAGGCTAGTAGCGAAACGTAGGTAGCACAACTCAATAGGCGCCCTCCGTTGCGGACCTAGCCTTGAATTTGTAGGAGGGGGGGGGTGGGGGGGTCCGGATACCTTCCTTAGGGCCTCTAAGCTCCCCCTACTTCGTCGTAGCGGAGTCGGTTGACCGAGCGACCAAGCAAATATATGTTCGAGGAGCCGGTAATGATTTTTTGTGTGTTCCGATATTTTAAGCGCCGATTTCGAACGTTTTACAGCGACCCACGGCGTTGTAATTTTGATTTGGTTCCTCCGTGTGACACAGCCTGGAACGTACGATAACGGAAGGCGCCCACGTTGTCCTTTCTACGACACAGGAGATGCGTGCGTCAAGCAACGAATCTATGCTGTCTGCACACCCCACCCCCCACCGCCATCCCCTCCGCCCATACCGCCACAGATTATTCTCGAACACCGGTTTAAGGACGTCCGTGCGGGCTTGGGGACGTTGAGAAACCCCACCGCGGCACAGGCGAAAGAGAGGTCTGTACGTGGCGACCTCAACCGAGGTCTACACGGAGGTTCACGGGCGAACTTCAACCGCAATGCGCGGTCCGGGAATGACTTTATCGACTCCGACTACAGGAGCAGAATCATGTTGGCAGTGACACAGGCGGAGGCCGCCGAGAACGTGCGCGCGCGATCGAGGAATTCGCCGAACGCTGTTTTGTGCCCGCGTTACATTTCCGTCGAACCCCTTGCGGCGGCCCCCGTCGTAGAGGCCCCCGTCCCGGCCGCCCAGGGCTCGTCGACGATTGTTAACCCATACGCGTCGTCGAAGTAGAAGTATGCCGCCCAAATAGAGGCTGTTGGAGGATGTGGGACAAGGGCTACGTGGAAGCCTTCATAATCTTGTGTGAGCACGTCCCCACGTGATTCCGAGATGATATTAAAGTGACAAGTTTACGGCGGGATTGGGAGGGAGACAGATACACAGGCCAGAGTTTTCCGTGCAGTATGAAGCAAGGTTGCAGGGAAGAGCAGTTGTGGGGAAAGGCCCTAGGACTGCGATGTGATTGTGTCGTTTTGTAGTGATAAGCGATGGAAGTATCGAGTGTGGTGACACGAACGAAGAACTAGGGTAACGAGCCGGAAGTCATTTTCTTTTTTTCGAGTTGCAGACACGTGACCTTCACTCGTTTAGTGTTTTATTTTGTGCTGCACGGTAGAAGTGGGGTTGGTGCGCCTGAAACCGTTGGTGACTTGGGTCGCTTCTAGCGAGCAAGACTACCCAGCACTTTGAGGAAGTAGTTTGTTCCCTGTTTTTTTATTGTTTTGCATTCCCGCGCGCGAGACTACAGATATAGACCTACGACGATCGGCAGGCCTGCACCCGCAAGGCGACGACGTCGGTTTCCAATACTTGGTTCAAGCGTCGCATGAAATGATGGGTGTATCAGAGGCCTGGCCACGTTCCTCGTATGGTAGGATCGCCTGCGTGTAGAACATCTCGTCCGACACAAGCCGGCCATATCTATCATTGTTTTTTCTCCGGGGCGGGAGGGAAGGGGCTGTAAGCGGAAGTAAAATTATCGTGGCTGTCTCCAATGGAGGCCAGGAATGCTGTCTCAAATGGACACCAGGAAATAAACCGTCCAATGCTCAGAAACCATGACTATTAACCGAAACATTTCGCGAGTGGATAAGAACCACACTTGTCCGCGACGATGCAGGACTTATTACACCTTACAACAGATCAATGCTGAGAAATTTAATGTTGCAACACCTCGTGCGTGCAACAAGGTACCCCCACCACCACCCCTCCCCTTCCCCCGGAGATGTGGGAAAACCTCCGAAACCACTCGTAAGCAGTGACATCAGCGGTGCCGAAGATAGCGGCGTTCAATAGCATCTTCAAGAGCTATCCGAAAATGCGCCAGGGGAAGGAACTTTAAATGTTTGAACGCCGGTCTCTGGGCTGGACAGGAATACTGTGGCACAAACGGCCAAGTATGTGCAACACTGCACGACATCGACGAAGTCGTATACATCAACAAGAGGAAACCCGGGATGACCAGCAGCACACGATGCAGTCCATTCGATTTGGTCAATTTATCATCCAGAAAAACCAACCCACCAAATACAGGCAGCCAGTTCTCGAGACCTGCAAGGGCTGAAAATTCTGACCCTCATCCCTTGGTTTCACCCATCCCAGAGGCTGCCGTCTCGCCTGCAACATCAGATTGGTCAAAGGATAACTCTACCCTCGTTGGACCCTGGGCATCCGCCAGGTTCGATTTCGGCGACGACGGAAATACCTCATCGAAATCGATCGACCGAGCCAAAAATTCTTCGTCGAAGTCTCCGAGAGACGCGTCATCTTCCCCATCCTCCACGGCCAATTCTTGCAGCAGTTTCGACATCACGGCTTCCTCTAACGGTACAGCATCGATCCATTCAAGACCTTCGCCGCCCGTCGCCGACACCCGGTTAACCCAGACGTTCGATATTTTGCCATCACCGCCGTCTCCCGCCACATTGACTGGCCCGTTCCCCGACCCATGATCTACCAGCCCTCCTTCGCCGTCTTCGCTAGAGCCGCCGGCAACGCTAAGCAAAGCGTTGACCAAAAATTCCTTCTTTCTCCACACCTTGGCGTCGCCACCCGCAGCTTTAATATGGTCCACTAATGTGCCCTTGGTCAGTTCAAACAACTGTGGCTTGGTCATTTTTCTCACCGTCTCAACAGCTAGACCCTCATTCGTCACAGTCCCCGAGCCTGCCACTACACCACCTGCCAACTGGCCCGTTCCATCGGACCCCCCAAAAACTGGAGCCGCCCCCTTCGCTGTGGCCTCCCCCTTCGCACTGGTGGCTCTCAGCTGCTGTCATAAGGCCAACTCGCCCTCCGACAGCCTGAGCGTGGAATTCTGACTCAATCGGCGCGCGAAATCCCCCATACGGAAGCTGTGAAACTTCTGCAAGACAAACTTGTATATGTCGTCGAGAATCTCTGGTTGCGCTTCGAACGGGGGGTGGGCAACGGCGGAAGGGCAGCACTTACCCCATGCCCTCCGTACCTCTGATGATTCTGTGATCACCCTCAAGATCTCAGCCGGTAAGTCCCTAGATAAGTACCTAGAACGTATGGGTTACGGAGGAAATGGTATATCCCGTTCTCGACGTGGAAAACGAATTCGTACCACGCAAGCGTAGGAAAGAGGAGCCCCGCACCGGCAGCAGGGTCATTCCTCGCATCGACCTCCCCAACCATATCTTTGAGGATTGGATCTCTCTCAATGGCGCCCGCACTGGAGGGGGAATGATTGTGCTGCACTATGAAGTCCCACTCCTGGTCGGGTATGTTATGCCTTCTCTTACGCGATCACGCCTTGTTCAGCAACCATCCCGCAACGTAATGGACCTTCCCACGCGCCGTTGAGATCTTGTGGATTTCCGTAAGATAGGTGAGAGCCACCGTGTTCGATTTCTCCCTCTCTTCCATGAAAACGCGGTATAGCTCCTGGGGCGCACAGAGGGGATACGGGTTTAATAAAACTATTTCAACGAGAAAAACATAAAGTGTAAATTGAAATGCCGAAGGAAGGCTGACAAGAGCGAACTAAGGAGGACTACGAGCTTGTTAGATAGTCGACGCAGTTTTGTGTAACCCGCCCCATCATCATACCTCCTCAAAATTACCTGTCCACTAATTGGTTTCACTCCTTCTCCGTAACACTGCAGACGAAACACCCACGGTCATAAGAGTTGTACTCGGTGCGTGCCACCTTGCGTGCGTACCTCATCCACTACGTTGATGATGCAGCGCAGGTAGTGTGTGCCCTGGTCGCCCTGGCGTGTGCGCGCGACTTCCTGAACGCTTTCATGGTTGATCCACGTTCTTATCCGGTCGGGCCATGCCTCGAAGCGTGACAACGTGAAAGTGGACGCTGTCCTTGTTGTAGGCTTGCGTGCTCTGCCAGCGGCGAGAAGGTCTACCAGGTATTTCCAGGAGGTCATGATCATCTCTCTGGTAGGAGGGATGTCGATGCCCATACCCCAAATACTTTGCAGCCAAGGGAAATGGTCTAGCGCAGCGGTTACGCCTTTTTTTACCTGCGCTACATCACGAGGACCCGCCCGTAGGTTTTCCACGGCGTCGTCCCGCACTTCAACAGCAGCTTCCTGAAAATCGGACAAACAGGGTGAGGGCAACAAGCACGAGTGAGTACGAGTAAGTGCGTTTCTTCGTAAAACGAAGCGACACATTGGTGACGGTGCTGTCCATAATCTACAAGCATTTGCAGGCAACCCACAGACCGCGCCCGACGGATCTTAGAACTAGTACATGTCCGGATCATCTTTTGGTAGATAGAAGACGACGGTTTCGAACCCGCTCGCCACGACACCATGCCTACGACGTTGCATATCGATCCGCATACCTCAAACACCTGGATATTTGATCTCACCTGGCCAGAGTGCGCGTTCAGCATAGCAGCCACGGGGGATAGAATCTCTAAATCCTGTTCCACCTCATCTTCTGAGTCTTCTTCGACCATGTTGTCATTGTCCGAATCCTCCCAGTGACCTTGAATGAGAACAAACAGACGTGACAGAGGACGGTCGCATGAACTCGACGGCCTGATTATCTGCTGTATCGTGCTCTGATAAATGTGTCGCTCATTTATCTCCTCTCTGTATTGAGCAAGTCTGTTGCCATGCACGACGTCCGCGGCGGTGAGACCACAGCAGAGGTGCTATAAGGTACCGAGCAGGGACAGGAATTCATCTTTTTGTTTTATGAAGGGACAAACAACGACGGCCACAGCAGACGTTCAGGGGTCAACGTGCGGTCGTCGCTATCCTCTGCGGGTGGATCCAGTCCCTCCGATAGAGAGAGCATATATCAGAGGGAGGGGAAGTGATTACATGATACACGTGGGCTGTCTACTGCTGTAGTATTTTTCTCTTCCCCAGAACGAGAAGAAAGCGCTTGGAAAATTGAAGAGGAAAGTAGTAAAGTCTTTCCCTACAACCTCTTGAAACAACAGATGAGGAACAGATAGATAAGGATGAAACGCATACAAAGGAGGGTACATGTAAGCTCACCATGAAGACGTCTCTTGGCTTGACTGGCGATGGGCCTATTCCCTCGTTCGATCCGGAGACCACATCGCGTAGATTAGTCGCTTCCATGTCACACTTTGTTCGACCCAGAAAATTCATTATCAACCCGGGGAGGGAGATGTAATACCATGAAGGGGGCTGCAGTGCTGGTTGAACTCTTTAATGCCCTTCGTATGGACCCAACGCTACATGCAGGCCAATAGTAGATGACAGTGCAGCACAAGGACTGCTGAAGAACGCTTGATTGGACGCCGCAAGTAGCAGCTGCGTCCATATGTATGTAAGCGAACACCAGCTCCTGCCCGAGATAGTATGTATCATACGCCTACCAGACACGACGCAAGATAACACACCAACTTCCTGGACCGATTTTCAAAGCTCGATTTATCAATGACAGCAACAAGAGACGCAGCGCGGAAAACCGCGACGACCGTCTGTTCGAGAGCTCACAGCTAACGTATCATTTCGTTGCTGCGTCCTCCTCGTCGTCGCTTCGTCGTCAAGTAATGTTGTAGATTTAAAAATTGGTGTGGGGCGGTGTTATCTTGAGTGTCCTATACGTGGTGTGGCAACATCGAAAGCGTCAGACGCCTGCTGCTTCATGACAAGGTGTGCGCCACTAGCTCCAGGTTCTACTGGAGTGATGCTGTGCACCATGTTGGGGAGGTTGTGCTTCGGGGATCAGCTGTTCGACCGCAGGAGAACAGGGTGCCGATTTGTGCGGCACCGCTTGACAAAACAGGTAGTGTGCATAAGCGGTCGGATGTTGACCTGTGACGGTTGTGGGTGCGAAGTTTGGACATTACTCTGCGTACACTACACCGATTGACAAACGGATTGCTATCCGAGATAGCCAGCCTTACACACTGATAGCTGTAGGCCTCGGGGCCCACCTCCCCCTACGCTGAGAGACGAGCGTGAGGGCGACACGGAGGGCATGCTCGACGATTAGACCCAAACACTCTAGATCTCCTGCGGTCATATTTGAATTTTTCTCGACTCACCGTTGATGATTGGGCCTTTTTCCTTCGCCAGCAGCCCCGCCTGTGATGCAACTAGAGCGCGCGCCCGGTGCGAGACCAGTACACGCTCGAGCAGTCGGGTGGTTGTACGATGAAGACCTTGTGGAGAGGGCCCTGTCCTGATCCATCCCCGCATGCGCCATGCACCCTTGCGTAGAATGAGAACTTCCAGCTTCCTCAAAAAAATACCCACAAGTCCGCCTCCATTTTATGCTGAAATTAGAAGGGGGAGAATCTCAGTTACCGTCCAGTTTACTTTTTTAAGGTCATGGACCAACACCCTTCTTCCCCTCGCTCCTCGACAAGCTTTTGCTTAGACATGGGTTGTAG